ACTTCGAATCTGAATGGAAAATGTTGCAAGGCATGCCTAATTTCTGACATCCGAGAATCCCATTTCAACAACTTGTGAAATGTAAACAAAATTTTATTTATGTTGATGTGCAATGCATGATTATGACAATACAATTGCACACTTTAATGCGATTTTACTCAGGAGTATTTATCATGGTAAATATCTATAAAATCTGAACATCCAAATATGTAAACGCGAACTGCTTGAATAAAAACCCAAACAAAATAAAAACAGAAATAAGAGTGACAAATTCATACAGTAATCATTGATTAAATTACTGTATGGATTTATTAAAGCTTTATATCAACTTTCTTGGAAACTTTTGATTGGTTTCCAGTCTTTATTGAAATCAAAATCTTTAGATGGTATTAAGCAATTTTGCTGTAAATCACAAACTCTTGGGTTGAATGTACACAGTACGGAAACCAAAACGAAATCCTTTCACAGTCAGCACTGCTAATGCTATACTACCATTATTCGTATTTATGTAAATTATTTTGTTTTCGAGATATATGCATATCACCTTTCACGATGTCAATGACATGTATGATATATGTTGTCTTATTCCACATTAGATATTACTAACACATATCGTTGACAAGTTCTCATTTTTGACAAGCCATCTTTGCAGCTAATTTGAAATATTTTCCATTAGAGTATTTATTAAAATATTAATATATAATATAATATTTTTCCTATTTACACACAAGGCATTAAGCATAAATACATACAGCAACGTATCAGAAGTAGATTGAAAATAGATACTATATATTACGAGTATATATATTCTTTTCTATGAAATATAGAGGGGAAATTTCCCGTATATTGTAGAGCAGGGTTGTCCAAAGTACGGCCCGCGAGCAACATGCGGTCCGCGTCTAATGTTAGTGCGGCCCACGATATTTTTTTAATCTTCCACAATTTCGCAAATTTTCTTTTGGTGTACTGGTAAAACTATATTATTTTATTTTTATAGTATACCAAATAAATGAATTTAAATTGATAAATTAATAAAACTAAATTTAACATTATAACAACTATGAACGTATGTATTTGCTTCTGCAGCTCTCCAATCTATACAGTAATTCGTATTGGCACGCGATCGCATCTGGTCTGGACAGCCTTGCTATAGGATATAGAGAGGAAATTTCTCGTATATTGTAGAGAATGGAATTGTAAATCGCGTATTATAATTGTTTACCAAAGCTTTTACTTACATTTGTTGTTATTTTCTGCTGTTTGAAATATCTTCTTCATAAATATTAAGGAGAAATTCTTCAATGAGATTTGAAATAAGAACAGTTAAATTAACTTCATTTCTCGTATATCAATTATGGATATAAGAACAAAATAACTAATTTAACAATTGATTTTTTTCCATATAATTAATTCCATATAATTTTGTATACTGTCTTATTGATAAACATCCCGGCTGAATAGTAACTCTTTTAAACGAATATTACCAAACTTATAGGTTTGAAGAGCACAAGAAAATTGTTAACCATCTGTTCTGCTACTGTGCGGTATTTATCCAAACACTTCTCTCTGTTATAGGTTCTCGTAGATCATTTATTAAGAAAGTGTATCCTCTAAGGACTTTTGTGGCTGCATGACAAAGAAAAAAAACTATACTCCTCCATATCAAATGCGACTGCCCAACAGTGGTTAGGAGAAGACTCAAGATCTTTGTGATCTTTTTCTAACTGACCTGGTATTAGTGATAAAACCGAATTTTATAGACTAGACAGATTGGTTTTTCTTTACTTGAATGTTCGAGTCGCACTTTCTTAATGAAATGCTATTTGTGCACCATAAGCTTCAGACTACTACATTTAAGGCTGTGTTTTAAGTCTAGCGGACGAGCTATTATATGTGCTTAAGCGGAATTTAGTGGGGTCATTATTTCAAACTAACCTAACCTTATCTAATAGGTTCCTATTTCGAATGACTAACCACAATGTTTGAATTACAGGTATTGGTAAAATGGGTACATCTTTATCTAAAACTTATTCAATCAGCTAGTGCACTTTAAAACTTCTGTATGATATCACAATGCGCTTATTTTTTAGGGTCTAAGTGAATCTATTTTTCATGCAACGGTTTGTCTGGTGTCTACCTAAGCATCTATCTATCTATTTATTTTTCATATAAGTAGTACGAAATAAAACTAAAATTAATTAACTAAAACTTAATGACCGTACTATTTTTATTGCTAGTTGTGCTTATGTAAATGTGACTAAAAGAACTCACATTTCGTACCAGTAATATATTTTATTTGATCTGATTTTACACTAATGAATTTGTGCCAAATTGAAAAGGAATAAAATTTTATTTCTGAGACTAAGTGTGTACGTGTCATAGTCAAATATCTCAACATGTATAAAATCCACATCTTACTGACTCATTGTCATCAAATGCCTATTAAAGAAAACCTATTAACTTATAAATTGGGCCGCTAGAGTTAAATATTTGCTATTGTTTTATAAGTGTGCCAATGGTTAAAACAAAAGAAAAACATTAAGGATCAAAAGACCACTCTATAGATATAAAACTGCGAAAACGATTAGTATTGTCAACTTCAACTCGTATGCTACGTCTGTACCATATACACTATGGTATTTACAGACGTATATGGTATTCTGAAGTGGATTCGAAAATTAACAAATAAGATTTTTATCTTCTAAACAAAATTGTAATTATTTAGATATTTTATTCCAAATGTACACATTTCGCTGAGTAAAAATATAATGAAGAACCGGTGACGGCCTTGTGTTAGGGTACTTGGATTAACTTTAAGGAACTAGAAAAAAAATGACGGCAATAAATAAGGTGGCGTTCGGTGATTGTTTCTTTAAATAGTTTATAAATAAAATAAAACTAAAAGTAAAAGTAAAATAATTGTTAAATATTTACTGTCATTACCGAATATGTACATTAGATTGGTTTGAACCACGTAAACCATATGACCTCTTGACACTTCCTTCAAACATCGAGGTAACTTCATTCTGATGCTTGTGTTTTCATATTGGTTTGGTGTCCATCAGCCACCAATTATAGAAGGCATTATGTTTATTTTTATTTAATGCAAATTACTTATTGTTTTGTAATTGGAGTCTTCCAGTCTTCACTTTAACTTAATGTGGAATTTAAGTATAACAAATAAGATTAGCACATCGGTCTATACGATCTGCACTATTTCTCGCAGAATAAGTTTCTTTTTTTTTTCTTTCTCTGTGAAGTAACCAATTTTGATGCTTCTCATTTTAAACCGAAACTAATGTGGGAAAAGCAAACTCACATCGGCAACATTGCCTTTAGCGCTAGCAACAGCCCACAACAAGCGCTCACTGCATCAGCAACAAATGTTGTTGCGACACTTTTCACATCTTCAATTGTAACAATTTATATTTTTCATAAAATTTTTTATCTTATTTCAATCGTTTTTTTTGTTAGTTTTTATGTAGCATAATTTAAGTTAATTGCAAGTAAAGCAAAATTATTTGTGAATAGCTTTTTTAATGTGTCAAAAGTCGTGATAAACATTTTCAACGGCAATGTGAGCTTCAACGAACTCAGGCAACTTCAGGCAACTTCAGGCAACTCCAGTCAACTCGTCAGTAGACAGAAAGAGCATCAACTTTGTTGCCAGTGAATATGAAGATGCGTTTACATGTTGCAGACGACATGTTGCGCGTGCAATATTTATTGGACGAGTTAAGCTTGCATATACAGGAAATGTATTCCCTGTAATTTATTGCTTAGCCTAACTTTTAAATGTAATTACCAGAAAATTGTAGGGAATCGGAGTCGTAGTCGGGCTCAGACTTAAAATCGGAGAGCTTTGAAAAGAGTTTAAGATGGAAGTGATTTTAAAATTTTTTATCTCCTGTGCCATTAGAAGAAAACGTGCTTTCTTCGCAGCTTATATTTCACAAAGCGTTGTGGCTAAGAGTCTATAGTTGGTATATGATGTAGAGGACACTTTGAGTCCATTTTGTAAATGTCGTAAATGTGCAATAAAATAATTATAACGATAATATATGTGGGTTAACATTATTTATAATGGCTGAAATAAAAGTCTTGTAATAAAAATACAATTTTTGTGGTGTCGTAAACTAAAAG